TGTTTATGACTGCAATTGATCAGTCTGTTATTGGCATATGTGCATCCTGTGCGTATTGCCTTAATTTGCAAGCATTATGAGCAAAGATGGATGGTGGCTGGCAGTAGAATCCAGTTTGACGCGCGTTACGTCCTATTTGGGACTCGTCAGCTGGATATACCTGTATCTCAGAGTTGATATTCATTCCGCGACTCGAACCCAGTACCATTCACTTTAAACGCCATCGCGTTATTCACTTAGTTACATAAGTTGTTTGAATCGTTTTAGTGAAACTTTTTATACATTATTTGAAATAATTCGGTTCGGAGTCAGACTTATCGCGGCTGGTGTAATTATTCCTTGATTGCTCAAATTAAGTTAAATGTCGTTGACCGATTAATAGAACTTGTAGAGTCGCCACCAATTTATCTAAGAACTTTTAATTACATCCTACACTGTCATGAACATTACACTAATGGATTTAAGGAGTTTCCATGATCATTACGATAAGTATAAGCTTTTGGGGCCTTTTATACTTACTTACTTACGCCTGTTACTCCCAGTGGAGCATAGGCCGTCGACCAGCATTCTCCAACACACTCTGTCATGGGCCTTCGTTTCCAATTCTAACCAATTGTTGTTCATTTTTGTGATGTCTGTCTCCATTTCTTGACGTCAAGTGTGAATCGATTGGTGCATGCTGTGTTGTGTTGGAGAACTTTGCTGTATGTTGAAACCTACTGCTGCTACACTGGTCGTCTTCTCCTGTATTTGTTGTTGCCTTTTATATTAATTACCCTGTTAATGATACTGATTAAAGTAGGGTTCATGTTGATTGAAATACTGAATAATACGAAGATTTTGTGTTTGATAATCAGTTTACAGCTTTATATAGAATAAAAACACTCATTCATTGTTTACGTATCCATAAATGGTGTTGTATAATTAACCATCAAGAAATATCAGATCTATTATTAAAGCAGATTAATATTCATATACTTAACCTGATATTCCGTGATATTGCAGTCTTAAACCTCAATGCGAAGATACAAGCAAAACGATACCAAGTTTATTTAAATTCACCCCATTGCACAATGCAAGTGGCTATCAGGACTCAGTAGCTGAGTAGATAACGCGATAGGATTTGAAGTGAATGGTACTGGGTTCGAATATCAGAGTGAACATCAACTCTGAGGTGCAGGTACATACAGTTGACGAGTCCCAAAGAGGACAAAACGCACGTCCTAGACTCCACTGCTAAACACTATCCATCTTTGCTTAACGTGATATTTCTAAAATCTTATCCAGCTGTATTACTTATAAGTAACTAGTCTTTTATTACATATATAATTCTTTACGTCATATTGGATAATCATATATTTCCTTTTCATCGATTCATGTAATTAATGCTTGTCCAGTCAATTTTATTTAGTTATCTACGTTTTTATAGCTAAGGGTTCATGCTTAGTATCAACAATTGGAAAGTTAGTCTATCATATGATCAGATGAAACCGACAACATAAAGTATAGTCAATACTTGATAAATAATCTTCATAACGAACTAATACTGTATTAATTCACTTGATATTGTTTTGTTTGAATCTTCCCATTGAGGTTTAAGACTGCAATTGATCAGTCTGTTATTGGCAATATATGCATACTGTGCGTATGCCTCGATATTGCCTTAATTTACAAGCATTATAAGCAAAGATGGATAGTGGCTAGCAGTGGAATCCAGGACGCGCGTTTCGTCCTGTTTGGGACTCGTCAGCTGGATGTACCTGCATCTCAGAGTTTATGTTCACTCTGGGACTCGAACTCAGTACCGTTCGCTTCAAACGCCATCGCGTTATCCACTTAGCTACTGAGTCCTGATAGCCACTTGCTTGTGCAATGGGTTAAAGTTTAATTCACTTGATATTGTTTTGTTTGAATCTTCCCATTGATGTTTTTGGACTGAAATTGATCAGTCTCTTATTGGCATATGTGCATGCTGTGCAGATTGCCTTGATATTGCCTTAATTCACAAACATTCTAAGCACAGATGGATAGTGGCCAGCAGTAGAATCTTGGATGCGCGTTTAAACCTATTTGAACTCAGTAGCTAAGTGGATAACGCGATGGCATTTAAAACGAACGGTACTGAGTTCGAGTCCCAGAGTGAACATCAACTCTGAGATGCAGGTACATCCAGCTGACGAGTCCCAAACAGGACGAAACGCGCGTCCTGGATTCCACTGCTAGCCACTATCCATCTTTGCTTATAATACCGTATTAATTCAATCTGTCAAAAGTTATGTAGAATCTGAGATATGTATCCGGCCACTATCTCTTGACATACATTCGTCCTGAACGGATTGCATCGATACCTATCTGATCAGTCACAAATAAGATGAAATGAACGTATTGTATTTAACAGCTATCCAACATACTAAAAAAAAATAATCTTTAACGTCTAGTTTTTCGTACTGTCATAGATATCACATTTGTCACTTTGAATCTTTCTATTCATCTCATCAGTTTTATAACCTTGTTATATAAGAATTTGAGTCGACATACATTTGTATCGGATGGTACATTGACCATCACTGAGAATGGAATAGTGTGCTACCCTTAACAGTTAATTCCTACAGTCTTTCACAGAATTGAACTCAACTTTCGTGATATTTGTGATACTTTTAAACTATTTAGTCGGAATATATAGTTTTAATTGAGTTAACTCATTTACCCGGTAGTTGGGTATGGGCCATACTCTGTGAAGGTAGATGCTGTTGCCCAGTTGTGCAAACCAAAATAGATATAGCAAGGTTCGAACCTGAGACTCAGTGAGTGAAAGTCGGAATATAACTGCTTACATTTGAAACTTTACCTAACAACTGTTTCGATTAACTGGAAATTATATGTACAATCGTCAATTAAGTCCATTCAGATATGGGGAGGTAATTTTTTTAAACACATGAACATTGGAACAAGGAAGCACCAAATATATACGCCACATGAACCACCCGATTGGTGTGAGGGCTGTGATACTGTTCGGGTGCCCAAATCGAAGTAGGTGATCTTCGTAGAGGACCATACTCTGAGCCTTCGACCTGAAGGTCTAATCCACAAGGCAATGGAGCAACATAAGTAGATGCAGTCCTATGGTAGTCGGTGATCAATAATTGGTTCACACGCCATTTGTTCCTTCAAGATCCTGGAGCCAATGTGCACCATTGTTTTTGAATCAGGGTTTTCCAACTCTTCTAGGTAGATCCTCCATATCCACGAACCCGGTTAAAGTGCCGGACATTCGCTTTTCGTCCTCTCAATTTCGTGAACAACCGTAATACCGCGAAAAGGCAGCGAGTAGGACTTCCCTGGCAGTGGCTGTATATGAGTGGCCATTTGAGAGCATTTCGAGTGGGAGAGGTGACTCTCCCCATTCTCTGCCGTACCCAAGGTATTTGGGGGTGGGGAAGTAATTATTTTGTGACAGTTCAATTCTGATCTACAAATGAATTGAAATATTTCCATGTCTACATAGCTAATTATTCCTCGAATCGTCCTTAAAATATCAATGTAAATACATATAACTCTCACTTATGTGATTGATATTGTCGTTCTAAGTGACTAGGTATACAGCGATTTGCTTTAAGATGGACGCAATTGGCAAGAAGCCCTGAATATGTCGAGCTTCGAAACATCGTTAAATAGAACTAAATAATTTAACATAGTAATAAAATTGCTTGGTTATTCAACATTTAATCACTCAATCCCAATTATGAAATATCAATCTAACTTATTATAGTTCTATGTGAAGTTCTACATCCTTCTCTCAATGTTTCATAAAAATACAATATTTAGCATCTTCGAGGATGTTTCCTCCCATTCACAATAATTGAGTACAATAGATAAAAACATAAGTTTTACTATGGTTTTCATGTTAACCATATAAATTCCTGTACATGCATATTCAATGAACATACTTTTCTAGTGTGTCCTAACTCACTGGATGAAAATCTTAGTTTAAAGTTAGAATTAGACGTCTAATACTCAATTTAGATTAAGCTTATATGCAACATTCACCCGCTAAATACGCAGAAAAATGCCTAGAAATGCTTGATAATAAATTCATCTTAAAGATGAGACTATAATTTATGGATGATCTTTGATTGACGTTAAGGTAACATTGAGAGTGTCCGCCTAATAACTAGGATCAAATATTTTATTTTATTATTTGAACACATAAATATCGGTACAAAATGGCATCAAATATATATGCGCCACACTCGTTAATCGAAGCAAGTATAGTATTTTCCTTAAGTATCGTCATTTCATTCTGTTTGTGTGTGGGCTGTGATACTGCCCGGGTGCCTAGACCGAAGCTGGTGGTTTACTTAGGGGGCCATACCCCGAGCCTTGGACCTAAAGGTTCGACCCACAAGGCAGTGAAGCATCATGAGGAAATGTAGTTCCATGGTAGCCAGTGACCAACGATTGGTTCATACGCCATTTGTTCCCGCAGGATACTGAAGCCCATGTCCACCATTGGTTTTGGATCCGGTTAAAGCGCCGGACATTCTCTTTTCGTCCTCTCATTTCCGTAAACAACACCCCCCGCCACGAGAAAGCAGTGAGTAGGACTTCCCTGGCAGAGGCTGTATACGCGTGGCCATGTGAGAACATACCCGTACCAGGGAATTTAGGGGCGTTATCAATCTGTTTGAGGAATTCGAATTATCATTTACAGTTGATAATTAACATTAAGAATTAGATTTCAGGGTTTTTATCACGAACTGACATAAACTATAATGTCAAGATGCTATTTGGCCAAATTCTAGTTACGTTTTTTTTAGCGAGTTAGTTTTCTACGGGATGGAGGTTGCTAAACCCATGCCCAACCCTCCTCCTTTACCCGGGCTTGGGACCGGCAGTATTTAGCCAAATGGGTGAGTGAATTTCGTGAACAAACTCCAAGACCTCATATCTTATTACCTAATTAGTTGGTTCATCCTAATTTATATCAACAATTCAAGTTCATATCAAAACATTTATTACAAATGAAAAAAAACCATCAATTAGATAATATACAGATTACAATAGTTGAACTATTCATTTCGTTTTAATCTCCATATATCTGATGCAAATTGAAATGAATCTAAATTCCAATCATGATTTGATTGTAATGAATTCATCAATGGATTCCATAATTGATTGACAAGATTGATAGTAGATTGTAAAAATGCATAATCTATCCATTGTATACAAAATAGATATAAAGATAATAGAGAATGATAGAAATCAAGTCTCAATTTAAGAAGAAATGATAGTAAATCAGTTGATGAGATTGTGAATCTTTATCGACTGAAATGGTTGAGTCACGTGTTATGTATGACTGAACACCGATTATCACGACGTGCAATGCTAACTAGTGTTGGAAATGATTGGAAGAAAGTTAGGAACGGCCAAACTAAAACATGACATCAGTCTTTCAAGTTACTAATTTCTGGTCTGATCCATATTGGTAGATACAGACTACTTGATTGAGATAAGCGTGACTATTGTAACCAATGGTTGGAGACTTTTCGTGAAATGGCTCAGAATCAATCACAATGACGTATCATATACAATGTTGTCTTTAAACATTATTACCATTGAAGTGATTACTTTTATATATTCGGTGTTCATCTTATTGTTCTAATGAGGTGTGGCAATTTGGACCAATGCCTAGTCCTACGTTGTAATTGATTGACTGACTGATAGATTGATCGGTGAATATAGTTGTTTCAGTTCAATAAGGAGATTATTCATCGGCTGAACTGTTCCGTGTTAAGATCTCTGGTTGATTGAATTCTATCTTTTTGCATAGGTGCCAACCAATTACGTAATCACATTTTTACAAATATATGACCCCATTTTCGCATACAAATATACATAAATCTTAACCATAATAGAGAATTTCTTTCCTTAGATTTTGTATTGTTCATATCATTATTTCAAAAATTTATAATGAAAGTATATAGAATGTTTATCATTACACTCTTATTAACCAACTGGAAATCCAAACTGTTCATAATGATGATGATGATGATGGTGATGATGATAAGATTGAATTGACAACGTGAGCCATTTCGTCACATCAAAGGATAAGACAATTAGTCACAAGATTAAATTTTAAGGTAATAGCTGGAGGTAGTCAACAAGAAACTTCAAACATAGGCTTCGTATTATTTGGTACTTGTCAATGAGATGTAAGGGTAATCTTAGGATAGGCAATACTCCCTAGATGATTTAATTCTGTGTCACTAGCTCTAAAGTATCCTGTCGACTATCTCTCATCAACAACCTACATGTCAGTGTGGTGCACGCGATGTCCAGTCAGCTTAGTGGCCACATTGTAAATTGATCAATAAAATTCGATCAACTTTAAAAAAACACTTGACATACATGATATTGGTTACAACCTAGTGATCAATCAACCATTAAGAAGAAGTTTTTCTTCTCTAGTAAATTAACATACTTATTTACAATGAACTGGCCCCCAAATGCCCTGGTATGGCCGAGAGTGGGGAGAGTCACCTATCCCAATCCAAATGCTCTCACATGACCAAGAGTATATAGCCTCTGCCACGGAAGTCCTACTCACTGCCTTCTCGTGGCAGGGGTGTTGTTTACAAAATTGAGAGGATAAAAAGCGAATGTCCGGCGCTTTAATCGGGTTAGTGGATATGGGCTCCAGTATCCTGAAGTGACAAATGGCGTATGAACCGATCGTCGGTCGCCGGCTATCATGGGATCGCATCTCCTTACGTTGTGAATTAGACTTTTAGGTCGAAGGCTCAGGGTGTGGCCCTTTACGAAGATCACCTATTTCGGTTTGAGCACCCGGGCAGTATCACAGCCCACACACATATCAAATGAGATCTGTGTGACGCATACATATTTGGTGCCTTCTTGTACCAATATCTATGTGTTCAAATAAATAAATAAACAATGAACTGATCACTGATTGGTAATCAATATCATTTCAAGTTCTTTTGAGTATTGATCGAACTCTATAGATCAAGTTACTTATTTATAATAAGCACAAATATGATTAAACTTCATTTATAAAAACAAGAGATTAGGGGATATAAATTTTCGTAGTTCGCTTTACTTACTGTCAGTTAATAAATTAAGAACTTCTGACTAACAAATATAATTTTTAGAATGGGTTTTGTGGAGATTTTTAGAAATTTCACTGATTGAAATCATGAGTCAATTGAAGCTAGACCATCATGGAAAACCTGGAGGCATTGGACGGCCGTCTCGTCTTAGTATGCGACTCCTCAGCAGTGCGCATCCACGATCTCGCACCCAGAACCTATCAGTCTCGCGCCAGGCGCTTTATCAACTAGACCACTGAGCCGGCATCCAACGGTGTTAATGTCTAATTTCAACTAATCCACGAATTTGCGCCACCGTACACCAATGTCTTCAGTGAGTTGATTTTTCACAACAGACCTGGTTGAACTCTACTGGTAACGGCTTCCAGGTTTACCATGGTGGTCTAACTTCAATTGACTCATGATTTCAACTTGTGAAATATAATTTTTGTTCATCAAATTAAAAGCAGGTGAATAAGCAATGAGAAGTCAAAGTCCATCTATGACTCTACATACATAAACATACAAGACCAAACTTAAAACTTTGTGGTCATATAGCGGTAAATAAATAATTCTGTAAGTCTTCGACATTTATACTGACCTCATCAGCTGAAGACGCTCGGTCGCGCATCCGTATCAGATCAGCACTGGGCACACCATGCTACGCATTTCCTTACAACACTTCTCGACATACTGAATGTTTTCCAAATATTTCTTGAAATCCCTTCACTCCTAACTTTTTGTTTGATTGGATTTGGCATCCTTCAATTATAGTATTATACACAAAAGTGTTATATCCCGATAAGCATAATCAGCGGTAACTTTTGAGAACTATTTATATATTTTGTGTTGCATAATTATTAAGTAGCTAAACAATGCATACTCAAGTTCCTCTTCGTAAAAGCTTTATTTTGACCCATAGATTATTATTATACGATTTACCGTTCTTGAGTTATATCCAGTCTATGAATTACTACCTCCCACATTCATAACCACATTTGGCTAAATCTTGTACAAATGTTGTCTTCTATTTTACGGTACGATATCGTCTATATGCTTTATATATAAACCCAGTATGTTTGAAATACATCATTGATATCACAGAGGTTGAGATTGATGTTCTGGACTTGACAGACAGAGCTAGATTGGAAGAAGAATCGATGAGGAATCTACACTGCTCGTACGGATTTATGCATTATTGATCCGGTCGATAAGTTATTGTTCTCTAATTGGCGGTATCATTATGCCATATATATATGAATAGTCAGTCAGCTACAACGTAGGACCAGGCACATATGTGCATCGGTCCAGGTTGCCATACCTCATTAGCACAGCAAGATGAACAGCGGATTCATAGGAGTGGTTAAGTCAAAGGTTGCAATAAGGATATAGTATAGGAAGAAAGAATTAGTTCGTAGAAAGAAAGATATGAAGTGATTTTAATCTCTTAGTTTAAGGGAAGACAAAGAGTGTATACACCGACGCCATTGTGATCGATTCTGAGCCATGTCACCAAGAGTCTCCAACCATTGGTTACGATAGTCACGCGGACCCCAACCAAGTAGTCTGCATCTACCAATATGGCTCAGACTAGAAGTTAGTGACTTCAGGCACTGATGCCACGTTTTGGTTTGGCCGCCCCTAACTTTCTTCCAACCATCCCCTACCCCGATTAGCATTGCACGTCGTGGTAATCGGTGTTCAGGCATACGTAATACGTGGCCCAACCATCTCAGTCGATGAAGATTCATAACCTCATCAACTGATTTACCATCATTTCCTAATACCCTGCGTCTAACCTCACTATTACTTACCCGGTGATCCCAGCAGACGCCAGCAATATTTCTAAGGCATCTGTGGTCAAATACTAGTAGCTTACGGGTGTCTTCTACTCTTAATGGCCGTGTTTCGCTGCCGTAAATTAAAACAGAGCGAATATATATGAATAGGGCACAAGACCACAAGTTATAACACAAATGTGCTATCAAACTCTGAATAAATGTGACATCTCTAATTACAAAGTGTAAGTACAATATCATTAAGTGTCAATTATAATGATGCTTATGGTTTATTATAGCTACGATATTTCTAGATCTTTTTTCAAGTTAACATAAGGTTAAACAAAATATTCGTTTCTATGGTAATATTGTATGCAATACAAAATCTAATCTAAAATATCTTATTTTAAATTAAGTTTAATGGTAAACAAAATGCATAATATATATATATTGATACTTATAGGTACATAAATAACTTACAATCTCTTGCTTGAATTATTTCTTCCAATATTTTATGAGGTAATATTGTTTTCAAGGGATGCTACATAGCAACAAGAACAACAACAAAAACAAAAACACATCTAGCATATAGATGATGATCATAGACACGAATTACCTTTAATTAATCTTTATCAGTATACTAACTTACTTACTTACGCTTGTTACTCCTCGTGAAGGAGTATAGGCCGCTCAACAGCATTCTCCATCCAATCCTGTCCTGGACAATCCTTTCCAGCTACTTCCAGTTGTTATTTATCCTTTTCATATCTGCTTCTATTTTTCGGCGTAATGTGTTCTTTAGATTTCATCTTTTCCGCTTCCCTTTAGGATTCCAAGTTAGGGCTTGCCTCGTGATGCAGTTTGACAATTTGCGTAATGTATGTCCTATCCATTTCCATCGTCTTTTCCTAATTTCTTCTTCAGCTGGAAGTTGGTTTGTTCTCTCCCAAAAAAGGCTGTTGCTGATGGTATCCGGTCAATGGATGTTGAGTATCTTGCGTAGACAGCTATTTATAAATACTTCTACCTTCTTGATGATGGTTGATGTAGTCCTCCAAGTTTCAGCTCCATACAGTAGAACTGCCTTGACGTTCATATTCAAGATTCTCACTTTGATATTGGTTGATAGATAGTTGTTTTGAGTCCCATATGTTCTTCAATTGCAGTAATGTGGTTCTTGCTTTGCCAATCCTCGCCTTTACGTCTGCATCTGAACTTCCTTGTTCATCGGTGATGCTTGCCAGCTATGTGAAGGATTCTACATCTTCCAGAGTTTCGCCATCAAGAGTGATTGGATTGCTGTTCTCTTTTGAATTTGAGGACCTTGGTTTTCCGCTTGTGTATGTTGAGGCCTGCTGATGCCGAGACTGCTGCTACACTGGCTGTCTTTATCTGCATTTGTTCGCGTGTATGCGATAGGATGACTAAGTCATCTGCGAAGTCCAAATCGTCTAATTGGTTTTGAGCTGTCCATTGTATGCCGTGTTTTTCCTCAGATGTCGAGGTTGTGGAAATTATTGAGTTTTTTTATTGAGATCCTAAACCGATTGGTGTTAAACCACCGTTGGAAACCTGGAAGCAATGGACGGCTGTTTCGTCCTGTTGTGGGACTCCTCAGTGGCAGCGCGCATCCACGATCGTGCCCGCAGGATTCTAACCCCCAGGGCCTTCAGTCTTGTGCGCGAGCGCTTAATCTACTGGACCATTCAGCCGGCATCCAATGATGTTAATGTCTCACTTCAACCAATCCACGAAATTGCGCGACCATCTTTCATTGTACTGAGGTAGATAACTGTCTCTACCCGACACGAATTAGCTCTACTGGTCACGGCTTCTCACTAGAACTCCGAGGATTCCCTCACGAAGCTAGTCACTATTGAGCACATGATAATTATCAGTATAGGGGTTGTGGAGATCATTAAGTTTTTGATTGAGATCATGAACCGATTGATGTTAGACCATCAGGAGGTTAAGCGTTGGCGCGCGGGACTGAAGGCTCTGGGTTCCAATCCCGCGAGCGGGATCGTGGATGCGCACTGCTGAGGAGTCCCACAATAGGATGAAATGACCGTCTAGTGCTTCCTGGTTTTCAAGGCTGGTCTAACATCAATCGGTTCATGATCACAATCAAAAAATTTGATTAATCTGTTATGTCCCAGTTCGAGACTCAATACACAACAAGTCCCATAGAAGTCTATTGGTTTGAATTACTTTATAGTAAAAACTTGATTTGTAAAATCAAATGCCTTTGTATGATCAAGAGTCATCTCATATGGCCACGTGTATATATCCATTACTAGGGAGGTCCTACTAAACACCTTCTCTTGGTCGCAGTGTTGTTTACGAAATTAAGAGGACGATAAACGAACATCCGGCGATAAACATAGGTTGGTGGGTGTAGTGAACAAGAACACCAGTGGAGACAATCGAATGTATTTGACCACATAATTACAGAGCATCTTAATTAAACCTGAGAACCATATAGTAAATCGTTAATTTGCAAAATATCAATCCGTCATTTCAAACTGGACTGTTCCTGTTGCAAACATCAATCCGTTGTCTCACATTTCATTGTTCATGCGTTTTCATACAAATTGCATTGTGTTCCCACTCTTCCTTTCTTGATCTTCCCCCATCTTCTGCTGCCAGACATTACGTTCCTATCTCGCGTCATATACTACGTATATCAATATAAGTAGCACGCACCATAGTTGGTACGAATAATCCACCTAGGGGAGTTAGAAAACTCTGATTCCAAGCCAATAGTGGACATAAGCTTCAGGATCCTGAGAGAACAAATGTCATATGAACCCATCGTTGGTCACTGACTACCACGGAACTGCATCTTCTAAAGTTCCTCCACTACGTTGTGGATTAGACCTGTAGGTCAAAGGCTCGGAGTGTACCCTCCCCCCCCCCACAAAAAACTACCTGTTTCAGTTTGGCCACCCAGGCAGTATCTCAGCCTTCATATAGGTCGAATAATTTGTGTGACTTATGTCTATTTGGTACCTTCTTGTACCAATGTTTAAGTATTTAAATAAATAAATGTAAAATCAAAATCGCAAGGTGTTTCATCTATAAAAAAAAAGTATCTTCAGTTTATTCTAAAAGTTATAAGTCAAGATATAATATAATATAAAACAGTTTCCAATAGGAACAATAGGATAACTAATCCATATGTAAACATTCAAAACATGTTTGAACTTGATAGAAATGTAGACAAAAATCATATTCAATTAAGCATATTACATACAAGAAAATACCCATCTCATTTAGAACAAACAAAACTATAAGATAGTTATCATATACATCTTTTTATTATTGATCATGCTTAGTGTACTTTTTGTTCAGCCTGAGTTGAGCTTATTAGGTGTAAGTGAGGTTTCAATATATTATTTATTTATTTTAACACATAAATATTGTTACAAGGAGGCACCAAATAGGTATGCGCCACACAAGTCACTTGACCTGTGTGTGGGCTGTGACACTGCTCGGGTGCCCAAACCGAAGTAGATGATTTTCTTAGGGGGGCACAACCGGAGCCTTCGACCTGAAGGTCTGATCCATAAGGCAGTGGAGCAACGTAAGGAGATGCAGTCTCATGGTAGCCGGTGACCAACGATTGGTTCATACGCCATTTGTTCCCTTAAGGTAGTGGAGCCAATGTGCACCAGTGGTTTTGGAATCAGAGTTTTCCAACTCCCCTATGTGGACTCTCCCATGTCCACCAACCTGATTAGAACACCAGACATTCGGTTTTCGTCCTCTCAATGTCTTAAACAACACCCCTGCCACAAGAAGGCAGTGAGTAGGACTTCCGTGGCAGAGGCTATATACGCGTGGCCATGTGAGAGCATTTGGATAGGGAGAGGTGACTCTCCCCACTCTCGGCCATACCAAGGCATTTGGGGGCTGCAATATATTAAAGTCATATTAGTGAACATTTAACAAGTTTAATTTTATGGTACTGAAAAAGTATTGTTCCTTCAAAGTTAAGTGGTTACAAAAATAAATTTGAGGCTATTGTTATAGATTTGCAATTCATTTATGATATTTGCTTATTCTAAATCCTTCACTTAGATTCAAGATTTTACTTGCCTACTTACTTACGCCTGTTACCTCTTGTGAAGGAGCATAGGCCACGAACACCAGTATTCAATTCAAGAATATGGAGCTATTTCCTAGAATGGTAAGGTGAAATCTACTGGTAAGGCCATGAATACTAATTAGTAAGGAATCTTATATTACAACAAAACAGCTATCCAGTGATTACTGATTTTCATTGATTGTCTAATTAAGTTAAACCCCTAGTATAAAACTACATAATCACAAATAATTGACTAACACTAACCTTTACTATGAATGTTATCAATTCTACATGCAGCATAGCTTTGAGCTGATCCAAAGGTTTCGATTCAGAAAATAGAACGATATACATTGTCAATGAATTAATTGAGTTGCCTAAAAAAAATAAACAAAGTAAATTTATACATTTTCAATGTACAATTACAGATTTAAATATCCGACTTTAGTGTTGTTTTATTCATTTGGTGCTCTTTTACTTGTATCTTCCTATTGTCATTTAGAACTGCAATTGATCAATCTCTTGTTGACATATGTGCATCCTGTGCGGATTGCCTCAATATTGTCTTACTTCACAAGCTTTATAAGCAAAGATGGATAGTAGCTAGCAGTGGAATCCCGTTTGATGCGCATTTCTTCCTATTTGGGACTCGTCAGCTGGATATACCTGTATCTTAGAGTTGATATTCGCTCTAGGACTGGAACCCAACTAATGAGTTCCAAAATGGGACGAAACGTGCATTCAGCATTCCACTGCTAGCCACTATCCATCTTTGATTACTGTTGTTCTATTTAAAGAGCGAATAATACCTACTTGATTATCTAAATTGAAGTGGATGGAGAAATGTGCATACCTGTGACCTAATAGCTAAAAGTCGGATATCTTAACTAATTATGAATCGAAAATATAGTCAAGTTTAAATTGGAGCATACAAATTATGGATTGTTTGTATGTTCACAAGTGAACAGGAATGTAAAGTTAGAACAGCCTTTTTATATGTTTTACTAACGATGGGAATGGATTGATTAATCAGATGGGGAAGCAGATACATCTCCTTTACTTTGTACCTCTGATATGCGAAAAAAACACTTGTTTGCTCTACTGAAACAATCGAAGAGAAGCTACAGTGTTTGAGTGACACACTTTTAGAAAATAGATATAACAGAAAGTTTATAAGCAAATTTATGGCCACAATAGTTAGAATGAGAGAAGTACAAACAATCCATAAGAAATCCTTGTTCATGAGCCAACAATTTAGAGGCAATACAGATAATAAACTACTGATCCAGAGTATACGTAGAACAATCGAGAGAACATTCAATCCCAGAAAACTATGACTAGTCTTTTTCACGCCACCAATGATGATATTGAGATTAAAAGATGAACTACCTAGAATCTCCACGTTATTTTGTATTTATTAATTCAACTACTGTGAAGCAACTTATACTGACTGACGTCCTAGAGATTCAATAGCTTATCAAGTTAGTAATTTTCCATCAAAACCTCTTGTCTTACCCTGGTCAACTACAAACTCAATAAGTTAATGGTCATCTAACGTAACTCAGGTACATATAGCCTTTCCTTATATTTTACATAACTTAAATTTACTTTATTGAAATATCAAGAGATATTGCCCTAGAGTTCTAGTAAGAAGCAGTGATTAGTGGAGTTCAATCGGGTCTATTGTGAGATAGTAACTCATTGAAAATAATGATGGATGTGTCGCTCAATTTCGTGGATTAGTTGAAGTTAGACATTAACACAGTAGTTAGATGCCGACTAGCTCAGTGGTCTAGAGGTTAAGCGTTTGCGCGTGAAACCGATAGATTCTGTGTTCGAATCTCGTGAGGCGGAATCGTGGATTCGCACTGCTGAAAAGTCTCACAATAGGACAAAACAGCCATCGATTTCTTTCAGGTTTTCCATGATGGTCTAACTTCAATTGACTCATGATCTTAACTATTAAAATAGTTGATTGGAAATATTCTCACTGAATAGAATAAAATAATTGTATTAAACAAATATACTTTGACAATGTGATCCCGACCGTAGCTGCTACCTTGACGCGGTGGTCGGGCTTGCCTATCGTGATGACCCAACGGAGCTATATTGGCTGGAACATATGTTCCTGTAGGTTCTACCATGCCACGCAGGTCGATTGGAGAACGATAAGACTAAAAGCAGCAACTCAAGGTCTGAGGGCGAAGTCGTACTGCTGACTGTAGAGGGGTGTGACAGCAGTAAGGTGTTTCCCTCAGACAACCAGCATCTGCATCGATGCTGCCTTCTCACAAGGAAGGAAGAGGTTATAAAAGGTCGACCCTAAAGATGTCACACCTCACCTTACCTCACGGATTTCCGTCTCCGGCGGTAAGGCCCTTTGAAGAACGAAGCTAACACATTAAAAACCTCCCACGAAAAGGCCGTGTACGACCGGCCTCGAGCAGTTGTCCCTTGGGCTCTGAGGTCACGCACCCAGGTCGTTAAGACCAACACTAATCCAACTTCCTTTTTCAGGTTCCTCAACAAATACCCTTCCACGGTGTGGGCAGCAGGGAAGTGACATCAGCCCTCATACCCGTAACAACACACGAGACCAAGTTGGTAACATTCAAATCCTTCCTACACCTCCTAATACTCCCTCTCTTGCTAACAAATATCAACTAAGATGAAGAACCTACATTTGAAAGTTTTCTTATTCATTATCTTTAACCATTTAAAATATGTCAAAGTACATGGATTCTGTCGAATTATTTAGACTAATTATTACAATACTGTAACTTGATCAATAAAATCAAGTCAGAAGCATCACAGAGAGAGATGAAGACAAGATGTGATTGATTATTAAAATTAGATTTTCTTTTTAAACAAATTATAATAATTAGATGTGCTCTTAGTATTTTTAGAGAAACTAATTGACTTGAATTGTACCTAGTAGTGGAGTACAGGATGTGTATACTTTATCGTATTTCTAACTCTACAGATGGATTTACTTTCAAAATTACAGCGTTGAATAGATGGTAATATCAGGTTAATGAGCTCAAAATGCACATATACCGATAGAACCTAATCAATTTCGATGCTTAGTGTCAACTACAGTAAAATAAAAACTTTTACAAAAAGAAAAACTGACTGACTGATAACTTAGTTTTAAGTATAAAATATAGAGATTCCACGTCCGGAGACGATCATGACATCTTATAATCCACAATTTTTTTTATTTCTTTCAATCTGAGCTAAAATGAATCAATCTTAATGATAAGTTGATGTTTCGTATGTGGAATGATTTGGTACGTAGTATTAAGGAATTCTAAGTTAGAAAGAAACAACTGACAAGAACTATATCAAAAAGACATAAGATTCACTGTGAAATGGAAACATATATCAAATAATTAGGATAACTAACTTTGAACTATATGACAGTTGAACTGTCGAAGATTACAACAAGTTGGATTGAATGACGTTAAACTACATAACAGAACTAATAGCAAATGAATTAATGTGGATCAGTTTCTTTACTTTGTTGCGATAAACCGAAGTCGTAAATGTCTTTAATTTTATTCCTAATAATTCTATCCAGTGAATTGTAATAGATGATGAATGTATATTATGGCCCCTAAATGCCCTGGTACGGCCGAGAGTGGGGAGAGTCACCTCTCGCAATCCAAATGCTCTTACAGGGCTACGCGTATGTAGCCTCTGCCACGGAAGTCCTACTCACTACCTTCTCGTGGCGGGGGTGTTGTTTACGAAATTGAGAGTATGAAAAGCGAATGACCGGCGCTTTAATCAGGTTGGTGGACATGGAGAGTCCACATAGGGGAGTTGGAAAACCCTGGTTCCAAACCAATGGTGCATATGGGCTCCACTACCTTAAGGGAACAAATGGCGTATGAACCAATCGTTGGTCACCGGCTACCATGAGACTGCATCTCCTTACGTTGCTCCACTGCCTTGTGGATCAGACCTTCAGGTCGAAGGCTCCGGTTGTGGCCCCCTAAGAAGACCATCTGCTTCGGTTTGGGCATCCGGGCAATATCACAGCCCTCACACATATCAAATGAGATTTGTGTGGAGCATATGTATTTGGTGCCTCCTTGTAACAATATCTATGTGTTAAAATAAATAATAAAATCAAGTGATCTAGTCTATAATATAATTTACTAAGTAATATTTCGTCTTTTCATCAATAAATCAAATCTTTCGAAAGTTTAATATCCATATTTGTGATTAAATTATCACTATATACTTTCCTTGATTTCAATCTATGCAGAAAGTTGTGAATAGAAATTTACTAGGAAAATGTGAATATAAATAGATGGTAGAAATACTTAAAAGATTCGAACTCAAATCAACCAACCAGTCATTATATCATAAGTATTTTTATAAATGAACTATGTCTACTAGCTAATGATGAGCATTAAGAATATGCAATAATACAGACTAAGTCTAACAAGTAACAACAAATAATTTAATGAAATTTTTATCATTCTTGGCATATGAGCATACTGTGTGGATTGCTTCGATATATTCATAATAATTTGCGAATCGTCAGCTTGATGTGTCTTGATCTCACAGTTGATATTAGATTCAAGTGTATCCTTTTGACAAGTCTCAAATAAGGCAATACACGCATTCTGAATCCCGTTAATAGTCCTATTCCATACATTTTATATTAACTAGTGATAATATAGTTACTTCAATAGTTGAAATCATGAGTCGATTGAAGCTAGATAATGATGGAAAACCTGTAAGCACTGGACGGCCGTCTCATTGTATTGTGGGACTCCTCAGCAGTGATTATCCACGATCCTGCCTCACGAGATTCGAACACAGAACCTATCGTTCCCACGCGCGAACGCTTAACCTCTAGACCACTGAGCTGGTCGGCATCTAACTGTGTTCATATGTAACTTCAACTAATCCACGAAATTGCGCCACCGTACACCATTGTCTTCAGTGAGCTGATATCTCATAACAGACCCAGTCGAAATTCACTGGTCATGGCTTCTCACTAGAACTCCAGGAAATGTCTATTGAAGTCAGTCACTAATGAACAGATGATTATTATCAAAAGGGTTTTTATGGAGATTTTATTAATTTCAAAAGTTGATCATGTGTAAATTGAAGCTAGACCTCCATGGAAAACCTGGAAGCATTGGACGATCGTTTCGTCCTACTGGTCTAGCTTCAATTGACTAATGATTTCAACTATTGAAATTACTAAAATCTCCACAAAATCCCTTCTGATAATATAGTTACTGCCTAAAATCAAAACACATATGAAAATGATTCATATGTCTTATTACCACTGTTATTGTTATTATCAGCTTTATTCAATATTATATTTTTGGTACAATATAGAATTCTCAGCGCAAAGTATTTCAACAAGTTTCCGTTTCTTTCTTCTTGGTCGGTCCTGGCGATAAATATTGAGGAATCGCCAGTTAGATGTTAGCACTTCAGTGAATAAACATCTGAGTAATGTACATTCTTTTCGTTGTATATTGCCAGCAACCACATTGTCTCTTATTGAGTTTTTTGTAACTTTGACAACGAAAGGTTGTACACTTTTCAGAAACGCAGCAGAATAGGTTATGCGATTAAATAGACATAATGATATATTAAAACAAACAAAAATAGATAACTTGTTGAAATATCTAGATGACAGGAACAGGTAGCCCAGATGCTCAAGCAGGCCGCCCTTATCATCTTCACAAATACTGATAAGACACAGTTAATAGATTTTATGAATAATGGTAAGTAAATCATACATACATCTTTGTAACTGAACCACTTAATGGAAGTTAAACAATAGTCGATATGTTTTTTGGAGTATTTCTGACAGTAAATGGTTAAATTTGAAAACAACATTTTAAACCATTACTCGATGAGATGAAAGATGTAGTCTACAAAAAATCTAACTAGTTAATTGATTCCAATGTTAGATCAATCGGAAAAAGGCCAACTAATGATGAAGTTCAGAAATATTGAGAATGAAGCAGTTGTTATCTTTATCATAGAATGGAAATTGAGCACCTTGGTTGTGTATATCGGAATAGAAATAATCAATAAACCAATGAGAAAAAAGACAAACAACAACAAGGTCAAAGGTCAAGCCATAGGGTAAGACAAGTGGAATAAATAACCAGACAACTGCCAGTTATCAAATTTCAGGACAATAGAATGAGTTATTAGTCGATTGTGTAGATTAATGTTAGGGGCGGCCAAACCAAAACGTGGCATCAGTCCTTGAAGTCACTAAATTCTAGTCTGAGCCATGTTGATAGATACAGACTACTTGGTTGGGGTCCGCATGACTATCGTAACCAACGGTTGGAGACTGTGGGTGACATGGCTGACAATCGATCACAATGGCGTGGGTGTATATACTGTCTGTCTTCCCTTAAACTATGAGATTAAAATAGCTTCATTTGTTTCTTTCTATGAATTAATTCTTTCTTTCTGTACTATATCCACCTAGTATTTGATCATGGGTGTCCTCGAAACATTGCTCGTATATCATGGGACCATCGAGTAAGTAATGCAGTTGTTAGGAAACGGGTACTAGATAAGGATGACAAATCAATTGATGAAGTAGTAAAACTTCATCAGTTGAGATGGCTGGGACACGTGTTACGTATGCCTAACCACCGACTGCCTCGACGTGCGATGCTCAGTGGTATAGGAGTAAGTTGGAAGAAAGGTAGGGGCAGCCAGACCAAAACATGGCACAAATCCATGAAGTCACTGACAAGTGGACTGATCCATGTTAGTAGGTGTAGACTACCTGGTTGGGGACCGCGAGATGATAGCAACCGATGGTTAGAGACCTTGAATGACATGGCTCAAAATCGTTTGCAATGGCGCAGGTGCATCCACTCTTTGTGTTCTCCAAATTCTAATCTCCTGAATCTTCCTTGTCTTTTTTTTCTCTTTCCAAATTTATTTCACTGGATTATACTCTTAAAATAACATCTTCAAACCCTAATGTTTCCGATTACTGATTATACTTGTATTACTTCTACCACTACGGGATTTGAATCGACAACTGCTTCTCTGTGCTAATGTGGTATGGTAACTTGAACTGATGTACGTACGTACGAAGTTCTACGTTGTTACTGACTGACTGACTTTCTTTCTGTACTATATCCTTATATGTAATCTTTCTTTTATATATTACCATCATTGACTTAGCTACTCCTATGAATCCGGTGTTCATTTTGCTGTGCTAATGAAGTATGGCAACTTGGATCAATGCATATATATGCCTAGTCCTACGTTGTAGCTGACTAATTGACTGATCGATTGTGTAGATTGCTGATATGATGTTATCTAGAAGAAACAAAAATCAGAGCCTTATAATTCAACTATCCAATTCAAAGAATATAACTTCAATAAACGAATTAAAATTACAGTTTATCAATGATACATTTCATCTCATATTCTAAAACTATAAGAGAGCTGATTAGTAGAAAAACAAGTACAAACCTTGTTGAATACATTCCCAATTTGAACAATACAAAATGTAATTGTTTTTCTCACATAATCGTATCAAATTAGGTAGTAATTTCTGTCTATAGAGATATATATAAAGTAATAGAAAACAAACAAACAACTGATATGTATATCACATTTAAAATGTAATATGCATACAAACAAAATTGTTTCTAGTTATGCAGAAATGAAAATTGCTACAATTCAGCATAAACTACTTATAAACATGTAAGTAGTATCAGATGGGTTTTTGTGGAGATTGTAGTAATTTCAACGGTTAAGATCATGAGTCAGTTGAAGCTAGACCATCATGGAAAACCTGGAAGCACTGGACGGCCGTTCCGTCCTCTTGTAGGACTCCTCAGCAGTGCGCATCCACGACCTCGCCCCGTGCGAGATTCGAACCCAGGACCTACTGGTTGCACGCACGAGCACTTAACCACTAGACAGACCACTGAGCTGGCCGGCATCCGATACTGTTAATGTCTAACTTCAACTAATCCACGAATTTGAGCGACACATTCACCATTGTCTTTAGTGAGTTACTATCTCACAACAGACCTGGTTGAACTCCACTGGTCACCACTTCTCACTAGAACTGCAGGATATACCTCTTGAAGCCAGTCACTAATGAGCATATGCTGAATAATATCAGATGAGTTTTTGTGGAGATTATAGTAATTTCAATGGTTAAGATCATGAGTCAGCTGAAGCTAGTAGTACATTACAATAAATTAACTTTAAAAATCTTGGGCCAGACAAAAACATAATTAAAGGTACTGAATAGACGATTTAAATAAAAAACACACTGTTGACACATAGCAATGGTATGAATTTTTATTGTGAATTTATTTACATACTACTATTAGTAGACAAATAATTTCACACAAAAAACATCGCTTATTTATTTATTTATTTAAACGCATAAACATTGGTACAAGAAGGCACTAAATAGATATGCGCCACATAAATCATTCGATTTGTATGAGGGGCTGAGATACTGTCCGGCTGCCCAACCCGAAGAAGGTGGTTTTCTTAGGAGGGTCACAACCGGAATTCTTTGACCTAAAGGTCTGATCCACATGGCAGGGCAGCAACGTCCTATGATAGTCGGTGACCAACAATAGGTTCATATGCCATTCGTTCCTTCAGGATCCAGAGGCCTATGTGCCCCATTGGTTTAGAATCAGGGTTTTCCAACCCCCGCAGATGGATCCTCCATATCCAGGGATTTGGTTAAAGCGCCGGACATTCTATTTTTGTAAACAACACCTGTGGTGCGAGAAGACATTGAGTAGGACTTCCCTGTCAGTGGTTTAATGCACGTGGCCATTTGAGAGGGGGAGCTGACTCTCCTCACTCTCAGTCGTACCAGGGCATTTGAGAGCTAAATATAGAGCGTTCCAATGATGAATTTAGATTATGTAAACTCTATTTCCTAATATTTTACAGTAGATTAAACAATAATACAAAACTTTCAGTTAAGATGCTCTACTCACTACTTTTTCATCAAGTAATACTTTAAAACAAGGAAAAATAGCCATATAGAATGAAGACTTACCCTTCAATAGGTAATTTATACAATGAACAACCCATTATAATTGTAGGTTGATCAGTTTTATATAAGATAGGTTCACATTCATTAATCCATATAACATGTGGAAATGATTTATTCATTAGAAGATATTCAGGTATTTTATTCATATCATTATTATTATTACTGTTATTATTTGACATTAGAACATGACATAATTGTTGTTCAAACCATTGTTGTATAGCTAAATGAAAACGTGTACGATTGAATGTTCGTAATTTTAAACATTTTACAGCACGATAATTAGAATATAAATGTACAATAGTACAACAAATAAAACAGAACCAAATACAACTGAAATAAAAGAGAGAGAGAGAGAAAATAATTAAGAAATCAGTGAAAAAGATTTGAAGGTTTAAGAAAACTTACAATTGAGCAAATGTAATCATTAAACATGTATGTAACTTTTTAAACAAAGATGGATAATGTTTAGTAGTGAAATCCAGTTTGATGCGTGTTTCTTCCTATTTGGGACTCGTCAACTGGATGTACTTGCATCTCAGAGTTGATGTTCACTCTGGGATACGAACCCAGTATCGTTCACTTCAAATGCCATTGCGTTATTCACTTAGCTAGTGAATCCTGACAGTCATCTGCTTGTGCAATGGAGTGAAACCATATTCTATTGGTGTTGTTTTACTTGTATCTTCCCATAGTTATTTAGGACTGCAATTGATCAGTCTCATATTGGGTTGTAATTTAAGGTTATATCGAGGGAATCCGCACATATGCCAATATGAGACTGATTAGTTGCAGTCTTAAATAACAATGGGAAGATACAATTAAAACAACACCAAGTGCATTTATGTAACTTTGGAATTTCACAATTGTCTAGGAGTAGAATTATTAGTAAGACCTAGAATTTTTGGGCGACCTTTGAGCAACGTTAAAGTGATCTTGAGTAAGTTCACCTAATAATTAGGACAAAATGAGGGTTATAAATCAGTGTGAGGAATCGGAATTATGATTTACAGTTGAAGGTTAAAGGTTAGGAATTAAATTTAGGGTTTTCATCACGAACTGACATCATCTATAATGTCAAAACTCTAAATGGATGAGTGAGTTTCGCGCCAAAATCCGAGACCTGTTATCTTATACCTGATTGGTTCGTCCATAAATTATAGTCTCACCGAATTATTCACAATAACGCTTAACATAATTATGTAATGCTAGATTCTTCTAAGTATCTACTGAATCCTTTCATGGATTCTAACTCAATGATTGAGGTAGATGTTAAATCTCGGAATGAAGAGAACAAAGAGTCTTACTCAAAGAAAAGTGATTATTGCGTTAGAGTCCTTAAAAAGGGCTCAATACTAATTTTAATTTATCTTATGAGTTTGGTTGTGGAGCTTTCATCATTCTTCTGAACGACATCATCATCAACACAAACTTCAGGTAGAAGTGAAGTGTTCAAATTTCTCCACATATAGTTCACAGCTTATCCTGTACACCTCGATGTTGATTGTCCACGTACATGCATGTTAGACAACTGCGAACACATATTCGACTAGAAAAATGTGGAGATATTAGATAGAGACAATTCTAAAAACACCAGAGAATTTGTAGAAGCTTGGTACTCAGGTCAATGAGCAATCAACAGGCACATTGAAATCGATCCAATTTATCAACCAATCAGGAAAATTATAGGCAAACATAGAAACAAAAATCAAACTAATGCGAGATACAACCAAAACAAAAAATTAAACAATGACAAATTTAAGGTCACTAAAAACCAATCAACATCGAGGTGTACAGGACAAGCTATGAACTACACGTGCAGAAATCCGAACACTTCACTTCTACCTGAAGTTTGTGCTGATGATGTCGTTCAGAAGAATGATGAAAGCTCCACGACCAAACCATCCAGCTCAGAGAACAAAACTCCATCAAAAAGTAAAGAAAATAGCTTTACGTTATATCATCTAATTTCAGAATATATTTGCGATGAAATAAAAATCGTATTGTATTGTTAGTTCATTTAAATGGAAGATTATGGACTGTTGGATTTTCACAATATGATACCCTACTCGTTAGATTAAAAAAAAAACTTGAATTGTTTTAGTCTGACGTATGTCATATGTATGAATTATTAAAATTTCACAGTAGAATGTAGCAATTATTTAGTTGATATAATGACAGAATAAAAATATTTTTTCTGTTTGACACGATATACTACTATTATACGATAGGTAACTGAGATTTGGCTACCATAGACTAGATATTCAATCAATACGCTATACACAAACTTGGATCACAATATACAACAGATATATGATTCTTGAACAAAAATAAGGAAACAAGCCGTTTACACTTAGTGAGTTCAGAGCAGAAATCGATAATAGGAAGGAAGTTACACCCCCGAATGTCCTGGTACGGTCGAGGGTGGAGAGAGTCAGCAATCCCTCTACAAATGCTCTCACAAGGCATTCCCAATCACTACCTTCTCACAGCGAGGGTGTTGTTTACCAAAATGAGAGGAAGAAAAGCGAATGTCTGGGGCGTTCACTGGGTTGGTGGATATGGAGGATCCACCTAGAGAATTTCGAAAACCCTGATCCCAGACAAATGACACATAGGCTCCAGGATACTAAGGGAACAGGGGCGTATGAACCAATTATTGGTCACCGGCTACCATGGGATTGCATCTTCTAACGTTGCTCCACTACCTTGTGTATCAAACCTTTGGGTCGAAGGCACCAGATGTGACCCCCTAAGAAAACTACCTGTTTCGGTTTGGATACCCGGGGAGTATTACAGCCCACACACAAATCAAGTGACTTGTGTGGCGCTTACTTATTTGATGCCTCGTTGTACCAATATTTATGTGTTTAAATAAATAAGGAAATTACACATTAAATATTCAGAAACTGGATGTCTATCTGTTCATGTTAGGTGGTCAACCACTCCTAACATTCACTAGCTACACATCTTTAGAACTACTTGATTTTTGAGATATTGTTAGCTTGTGATGAAAAATTCGGTCTTATTACCATCTGATTTTATTGCTATTAAATTATCACGATTTAAAATAAATGGATAACCTGTTTCATAGTATTACATCGGGGAGTAACTTAGGTTCTGGCGAGTAGCTGTAGTCAGTCAAGTTTAGCCATGTCGGAGCTCAGACAAATATCATCAATACGAACAAGTGCTGCACAGAATTTTCAAAATTGAACACCCATAAATTTATGTCTATATGTAAATATTCATATTAAATAAACAAATGATAGAAGTAAATTTATAATATCACTTACAATTGATTACCGGTCACCATATATAACAAAATAAAATTAAGTAACCATGCCAACAAATTAGATAAGGTTTCCTATATGAATAAAAAGTAAATAATCTTAACAAAATAAACTTTTGTCTATATGATATTACATAAAAGAATTGAACTGATCTGTAAATATATTCAATTGACTCATGATCTCAACTATTAATATTACTATAATCTCCACAAAACCTCTATCTGATTATAATCAACATATGCTCACTAGTGACTGGCTTCAAGAGGTATATCCTGGAGTTCTAGTGATTAGTGGAGTTCAATCGGTTCTATTGTGAGATTGTAACTCACTGAAGATAATGATGGATGTGTCGCTCAATTTCGTGGATTAGTTGAAGTTAGACATTAACACAGTAGTTGGATGCCGACCAGCTCAGTGGTCTAGAGGTTAAGCGTTCGTGCGTGAGACCGATAGGTTCTGTGTTCGAATCCCGCGAGGCGGGATTCTTGAATGTTTAGTATGAATAAACGATATAACATTCTAACCAAAATGCAATTTTCTATTCACACTACATTAATTGTACTTCTAAATCCCGAAGCAAACTTTCCCCCCCCCCCACATACATTCAAGGTATTTTATGCATTTCATTAGCGTATCTACAAAAAATGTATCTCATTAAATGAATGCTCATTGAATGGTGTTACTTCATGGGTCTTGAGCAAGATAAACTGAAACTATGGGGTGTTGGTCTGAAAAATACAATGTATTACAGCTGTGCATTCCCAACAATCTGATCACACATGTACGTGTCAAGGAATTTTGTATGAAAACTTATAAAGATCAACTAAATGTCAGCTTTATGGCTACTTCTAGTGTCTGTCTGAAAGTTATGCTGTTTAACTTTCCTTTAAATGGTAAAGCGAATGACTGAATTACATCGATCTATAAAGTTTAACGGGTAACCGTTTAATATCACTGTTTCAGTCGGCAGTTTTGAGTCTTCATCAAACGCATCTGTAATGCATATTCGTTGAGTTCTGTCGACAACTTACTTTACCAAGCCTTGTTTGTGCTACAGAAGACAAAAACTGTAGGTAAATACTGCAAAGTTCAGGTCACCTTCCTATAAACTGACTGCTTTATAGTACCATCTTTCCCTTGGCTCAAAAGTGTGTCCAGAAAGGGTAATTGGTCATTATTTTCCTCCTCACAAGTACGATATAATTCTGTGGACAGTTGGATGTATCTAATAACTGAGAAGTATCGAACTCTATCATATGCGGCCAGTATTTCATCGATGCGTCACCTTAACAGAGTCATCTCGCTGATAAGCGACGAACAAAATTACAAAGTATCTTATGAAAATATGAAAATCATACACTGATTACTCCATTTGCAGATTTCCATCATTTGTCCTTTACATTTCGCATGATTCTTCAAATTCACAACTCCTTTCTATTCTCATTGACTTGATCTTCTTAATCTTCTGCTGCCAGGTTTTCCACTTCCGATTGGTGTTACATACTACTTATGTCTGTCGACATAAGTAGCATACACCACAATACAATTATCACTTTTTGTTTATTGTTACTTTTTATGGAACTGATATTGATATGTTTCCGTATAAAATGTCTTGAAAAGTATAGATGTAACTAGATGGCTGGAAATGTACAGCTTACGTAGGCTCGACTTTTCAGATTAACTCCATCTAATTGTTTTATCAAACCGACTAATTGCTTTGAATGAAAAGTAGTTATATTAATCTTAACTAGTTCAATAGTACAATTCATAGAGTTGTAAGTAAAATAAAACTATATAGAAAGTATAAAACTAACCTGACTACCATCTTTAGCTGATACATCAGCTAAATTATTATTGATCGCTTGATGTTGAACAATAGCTGCACGTGTTGCACTACCAGCGACACCAACTAAAGACTTTTTTGAAAGAAATGAAGTATATGTACGTTTGGCATAGAAGGTATGTAAAGATAATTTAATTTGATAGTTTATATTCCCGACTTAATTTAAAATGTGAACCATTGAATATCTAGTGCAAGACCCCTTTACAAACTTCAACATACAGTCTGGCCAGGAATCCGGTATTGGGGTCATTAAGATTTAAGCCGAGAGCGTCGACTTCATACTGCTGAACAATCATCCACAGTTGATACAACCTATCTTTAAAATATGTGTCTGGTTAAGTAATTCAGAAAAATAATGAAAAAATTACAGGTATGAACGATGCTGCACATATATACATCTACTATAACCATACAAGTGTTTTTACTCTCAACCTATAATGTGGAATACAGTGAACCATAAAATGATTTCCAATTAAGTTAAATACTTTTATTTAAACTAAGAATTTTCAACGAAATGATCATTTTCATGATAAATCGATTTGTGTTGAATAATCCCTGTATGGATCGGAAACTTGGAGAACTACGAAAGCCATCTTCCCGAAGATACAAGTATTTATTTACAGTTGTCTACACAAAATACTTCGGATCCGTTGACCAGACACTATCAGCAATAACCTACTATGGAAGAGAACAAACCAGAAGAAATCAGGAAGAAGCGCTGGAAGTGGATAGGACATATATTGAGGAAAGCACCTAACCGTGTCACAAGGCAAGTCCTCACATGGAATCCTCAAGGTCAAAGGAAAACAGGAAGACCAAAGAACACATTACGTTAAGAAATGGAGACAGACATGAGAAAAATGAACAAAAATCGGACAGAACTAGAAAGGAAAGCTCAGGACAGATTGGGTTGGGGAATGCTGATCGACGGCCTATGCTCCATTGGGAGTAACAGGCGTAAGTAAGTAATGCCTGGAAACTGAAAGGAGATAGGATTGACAGTGTTATAGTAGTAATGTTACAAAAGATGAAGTTGAAATCAAGATCTTTATGATTTGTTGGAGATATATAGTACTGAACGTAATAAGATGAATTTAGATTATCCCTAATTTCATTACAAATAAATATAGATATAATTCGAATAATCTACTGGAATCACATAAGCCATTACTATTCTAATGAATCAATAAAGGTTCATAAGGTAATCTCACAGGATACAAAGTGATTTAAAACAAGAAAGATGCTGATGTATAAGAAGATACACAGATAAACTGAAAGATTCCACCAAGTCAAGAAAATCTATTCAAGATCAGATATTACTGGATAGATATTTCGTTTGAGTTTGAGATTCAGTAACAGTATGAACTGATGGACGTACAAAAGATCCAAGTGTGCATTAATTAGTGACCGAGTAATAACATATATCATGTTCGCCTAGTCCTTAATATTGATCGAATTCTAAAATATTGATTACTGCTCAGTAAGCAGTCAGTGTAAGTTTCTCAACGCGACAGGTCAATCGATGACCGTATAGCTCAGTGAAATCGGATAAAACAGGTTCTTCAGTTGATGTTGGTTCGCAGTCGAAAAGTTTAACTTTATAATATTAGTACAAAAGACCTATATCAGATATTGATGAAAGTATATTTCACTGATGACCTTGAGCGAGCCATGGGGCAGCTTCGAGAAAGTACAGTTAATCTTCAGTCAAACAGAATTCAGGTGGTATGAATAATCAATTGGCAACATAAAAACTCAAAAAAGTCAGCGTTAGAAATTTGAGTTTTGATTTGGAGTTAGGGGTTGATCATTTGGAATCAGGTGTAATAGTTAGGAATAAAATGTGAGCTGAACACGGTATTTTTGAAGTTCCATATGAACATGGACTAATAATAACTTCACATTTTTACTGTTTACTGAAAGAATTGATGGTAGATAGTCATTGAGTAACAGTATACTCTTCAGGCAAACCAATCAGATTTAAGATAACGGTTATTTGATTTTTGCGCGAAATTCAAAACGCGATGACGGGTAGCTTGTGTTTATTGAAAACCAGGAAACACTGAACGGCTGTTTTGTTGTACTGCGATGCTCTATAGGAACGCACATTCACAAATTCACTGAGGGTTGGAATCAGGAGCTTTAGGCCACTTTCTGAGCTCTTAACATTGGCATTTGATAAATTACACTTCTGACTTCAATCAACCCACGAGCTTAAAAAAGACTAACTTCGAGCGGTCACTTCTTGGTTTCTGGTGAAAATATGTAAGCAGAGATTAGTCATGTCAGCATTCAGACAAGTACCACTAGTAGAAACAGATATTTGTTTATTAATTTAAACATATAAACATTGGTACAAGGAGGCACCAGATATATGTGCACCACACTTCATCATTCGATTTGTGTGAGGGCTTAAATACTGCCCGGGCGCCCAAACCGAAGTAAGTAGAAACGGATGACGGTAGCAGAATATCACAAATTGAATGGAGTTAGCAATGAAAATCATTGGGTAAAAGCTCAGTAGTCTGAATGTGAAAGAGTCACAGTGAGGCCTGAAGGTGATGTGGTCGATACCTAGTGGGGCTAAGGGAGTGTAAAGACGAACTCCATACCAAAACAAAACCAGTGACTTTTGATTTTAAATGGTTCTCTTAGGTGAACCCGTAGTGTAATACCGAAACATTTAACAATATCCACAACATCCGATAATAATAAATGGAACCGTCAAAATTTATAGTGCGACCCAAAAAATAAAAATAAGGTTTAACCCTCTATGAACAATTCAAAGACCAGAAAACTTAGCAACAAAGGGATAGGGTAGACAACAGAATACATCCAAACCAATATGAGTTACCTTAAGTACATTAGCAAGACAAAGTAACGGTGTGAACATATGATTGAATAGTGGAGAAATTAGTTCAAGGAATAAAGCACAATCGTTTAAGATATCAGCAACAAATCTATAGAAAAGTAAAGGAAAAAAATGAATAACTAAGAATGATAACTACTTCAAGACACATATTGATGAATAATAAAAAGTAGAGTTAACATCGACCAGTTTTCTCAAATAACCAATCTTTGATTGACAAACACTAAATATATAACAGGTATATTTCACTGTCAGATGTTATACTAGAGGAATTTAAAACAGTTTGGTAGTTTGACTTAACTCAGTTACCTAGCATTTAAGCATTGTTCTGTGTGAATGCTGGTGATACGATTCAGTTGCTTAAACTAAATCAAATAGAGTGGGTATCGAACCTCAGACGTAATGCTCAAAAGTTGAGTATTGTAATCAACCCAGTTAGATACTATACACAGTTGAATAGTCAAAACATTTTCAACTTTTAACCCCGTTAATTCACACAATTTAACGTATATCTCTAATGTCAGTTGACTTACATATTCTGATTGTAGAAAGTGGTTTCGCACCCTAATTCAGCCAGAACACAATTACTTGGTTGATAGATAGGTAGATCGTCATTATGTTAGATCTATGTCGGCCGACTAGTCAAATATGTTTTGAAGTTTAGAATTATCATTGCTTAGTTGAAATTCGATTGACTTAATCATCTACTAATTTAAAGAACATAATTATGTTTCGAAATTATCAATACATGTACTAGGAAAGTAATTCTTATTATTGGGATCATGATACGATCAATGTTAGACCACCATTGAAAATGTGGGGACACTGGACGGCCGTTTAGTCCTAGTACAGGACTCCTCGACGATGCCCACTCACAATCCCGTACGTGGGACTCGGAAACAGAGCCTTCAGACTTGATCATGAACGCTAAACCTCCAAATCATTGAGTCGACACTCAACGGTGTTAATGTTTAACTTCAATCAACTCACGATATTACGCCACTAGCTCCAACTGTCATCGATGAGTAACTGTCGCATAACAGACATCGTCGAACTCCACTAATCACGGTTTCTCACTAGAACTCTGAGAATTACCTCTTGAATCTAGTCACTAGTGAGTACATGAGTGAGTTAAATATCAAATAATGTTCATAACATAACTGCTTACCTCCAAAATTTGCAATCACAGTCTAATTTAATTCTACAAGATAATAAATAGTATCATATAGTTAATTTTAAGAAATCAATCGATCACTACCCATGATAACCAGCAAATAGAATTCTTCCAATCATACCTGAACCATCTAGAAAATCAAAAATGAACAATAATGATAATGTCATTGATAAACTTCACAATTCACAGTACATTTTAACTAAGTATAATCATTCTTTCTTTTAACTTGTATAGTTGACGATTACCCGGATCAAACAACTAAGAGTTTTAATGAAACTCAGAGAAAATTCATAGAATGTTGAAGTTCTTTTGTAGATAACCTATTAACAAAAACATCTCTTTTCAAGAAGACCAACAATTCAAATGATGACTGTAATGACTGCAAAGATGATGGAAAAGTATGACAAACGCTAATCTTGTGTTTTAATAAAAACACCAAACATATTCTATCATATGTAAGTTCTGATTGCCGATTTATTGTTCAGACTATTGCTGATAAACTGAATTCAGCAAAACTGTCTGGGTATATGATTATAGCCAAGCATTTCAATTCTGGGTTTGAGTCCCAGAATGAGCATCAACTCTGAGATGTAGGTACATCCAGCTGATGAGTCCCAAATAGGAAGAAACGCTCATCAAACTGGATTCAACTGCTAGTCACTATTTATCTTTGCTTATAAAGCTTGTGACTTCAAACAATATCGAGGCAGTCCGTACAGGATGCACATATGTCAACACGAGACTGATCAATTGTAGTCCTAAATAACAATGGGAATATACAAGTAAACGACACCAAGTGAATATAGATAATTGGATTCAAAAATCAGATATCATCCTCTAGACATCGCAAATAGGAAATTTTTACCTCAGATCTAACAGCTAAAGTTATTCTTCATTGTATACGACACAGTACAATGTTCACTTGATGACTGCATTTATCACCGTTCTACTTAGGGAGAACACATACATATATTCACAACTCAGGCAGTCAGTTACAACATGGGACCAGGTACCTACATGCATCGGTCCAAGTTGCCATACCACATTAGCACAACAAGATGAACACCGGATTCATAGGAGTAGTTAAGTCAATAGTGGTAATATATAAAAGAAAGATTGTAATAAGGATATAGTATAGGAAGAAAGAATTAGTTCGTAGAAAGAAAGATATGAAGCGATTTTAATCTCATAGTTTAAGGGAAAACAGACAATATATACACTCACGCCATTGTGATCGATTCTGAATCATGTCACCAAGAGTCTCCAACCATTGGTTATGATAGTCACGCGGATCCCGACCAAGTAGTCTGCATCTACCAACATAGCTCAGACCAGAATTTAGTGACTTCAAGGACTGATGCCACGTTTTGGTTTGGCCGCCCCTAACTTCCAACCATTCCTAACAATAGTCAACATTGCGCGTTGGTGTTCAGGCATACGAAACACGTGACCCAACCATTTCAGTCGACGAAGATACACAACCTCATCAGCTGATTTGCCATCATTCCCTAATTCTCTGCGTCTAACCTCACTATTACTTACCCGGTGATCCCAGCAGATGTGAGCAATATTTATAAGGCATCTGTGGTCAAATACTAGTAACTTACGAGTAGCTTCTACTCTTAATGGCCTTGTTTTGCAGCCGTAAAGTAAAACAGAACGAACTGCCGCGCAGTATACTCGTCCCTTAAATGATAGACGGATATCTCGCCTTCGCCATAGGTGACGTAAGTTGGCAAAAGCCAAACGAGCTTTTCGAGTCCGTGCTGAGATTTCGTCAGGTACCAACCCATTTAGGTTGATCAGACTACGGTCGGGGTGTACACTGATACTTTTTCACGATTTCACTGACAAGCTTCAGTTTGTATTATTCACAGAGTTTTATTGAGAAGTTGAGAGTTACAAAGTTACACAACAAAACCACCAATAAAAAAATTTAAATGTTATAAAATATTTTAAAATAATCAAATGAACAACACCTTTAAACATCCACGTTAAACTAGCACTTAATATGGTAGCTGATGAGTTCCCAACACCTACACCGATTAAAACTGCTTGTGATGCAAGAGCACCAGTGATACTGCTGGCAAATGCCTGTATAAAATAAAGAAGGAAGTCATATTAACGATATAGAATATAGACAGCATTCATGACGGATTTATCTTAGCTGGGATAACCATTAAAAACTAAGAAGCACTGGATAGATGTGTCATCTTAGTATGGAATTATTTGACAGTATACACCTACGACTTTACTTGAAATCGAACTTAGGATATGCAGGTATTGAAGTGCACCTTTAACCATTAGAATCACTGGGTAAAATGGTACGATCTCAGCTTCAGTCAGTTCGCGATATACAGCGGCGATGTTTTAACCTTGAATATTTTCTATATCGTCTTTGACTGTGAAGCTGGGTGGCACAGAATCGAATCCGTCAGGTAGCATCAGTTCCCTCAAGATTACAGGTACACGTTGCTGACAAATTCCAAGTAGCACGAAACCTAGGTTCAGAGCTTCCTGTTGAATACCTCCAACCACCATCTGATGACGCTATTGCTTAGAAATAAACCTTAATACTTTATACAGTGCATAACCGATAAAAATGCAACGCAGCCACCGTGAATGAAAACATCTACTTCAGTATAAACTTTATTATACACGACAACATCCGAATCACCATTCAGAAGAAAAGTCTTTTGTGTCTTGCTGCTACCCATTCATCAACAACTGAATTATGTATTTGGCTTGCAGCCATACTATTTATGTGAGGGCTATTAAAACTACCGGATTACAGGAACACCTTGTTAACCAGTGCCAACTAGGGAAGAATCTATGTCTAGAGTATCATGTTGACTATCCACCTACAACCACCTAACACCGAACGCCACACCAACTCAAGTTTTGGCATACAGATTGTATCAATAACCCCACAACGAACGTAGTTCAAAGCCAAGTATGTAAATATATACTTTGTAAATGAGTTAAAGACCCGTATTAGTTGAAGAAGTATTCAAATCCACGATCCGATAGTACTTCTTGAAAGCCGAGTACGTATCCTAGAAAGGTGTTTTAGACTCAAAGAACCCAATTATCATAACGGTACACTAAAAAATGAAACTTTAGCAATGAAAAAATCACCTACCTGTATAGTGTCCCAAATTTGATATTCTAAATAATCATTGCTAACACTAGATGGATATCCAACAGGAAGAAAAAACTTCTAAAATATATTTTATGAAATTTTTCATTTGATAAACCTTAAAAGTCACCCATGATAAGTGTAGATCAAATAATGAGCTAATTGATCGACTTTGACTTTTTTCCAATGTAAATACACGAGAAACTTCATCACCGTATGATTCAACAAACATTTTTGAAGTCATTGGACAATTATAAACAAGTAACTATCACGTTGTTGTTAATTATCGGAAAAAGCCTCTCAATAAGATTTATTTATAACTCAAATTGAATATTGTGGAAAACAGTAGTCTAAAGAAAGAATATAAAATGAAGTTTTTTCGTGACTACACTAGGACTCGTGTTGTTTTTATTCTTGACAGTGCATTAAAAATTATGTATGTATACATTGGGGTACGATCTTAAATAGTTACACATTAGAAACGTTTCACAAGCAATAATTCTCTTGAAGCGTTAGGCACTAATTAGATTGGTTTAATTGATCAATTACCCTCATATTACACATGATTCAATACTAAGTACACTGATTTTTAAAGTAATTTCTGAAATACACTATTGAGTTAGACATCTGGTAAAATAAAGTCATCAATTCCTTTACACAGAAGCATTGAAGTTAGAGTATTCAAATTTGTGCGTCTCTACATTTTCCACTATCTTGAGTAAACATGGAACAGCAGCAAAGTTATTTGCCCGCATGCTCTATCCTGATAAATCTTTGTTAGTGTTGCTTACATCTACATGTGGCCCACTAAGTTGGAACAGAGGTTTCTGGCTAGCCAATATGATAGACTTAAAGACAATGAGGAGTTTCATAATTCTCGCTCACTCGGAAAATTCCTCAGTCACAGATACAAGAATCAAAGTGCTATTACTCAAGGCTTAGTAGATATATACTCACCTGCTCAATATATATAAAATTCCCCCATTTTACCTGAAATTCTCTTTTATTTATCGGAGTAGTCATCAACAAAGTGTACGCACAAGTGCTAGAACTTCGACTATAGCTCGAATTTCTCTTGTTCTAGTATGTAATATTTTCGTGAGAAGTTAATGTAGGTCTTTTATTTTACTAGCGTTTGCTTTTCAGTGCCAAGGTAATATTCTTAGTTTCGAGTATCGACCAACGTAGGTAGTCTAGTCAATCACCTGCACTAATCCCATTAAATTAGACTTATTTGAAGGCTAGTATATCCCCATTATAAATAAATGTATCTGTTCAATGGCATTGGGTTTGGTGGAACCAGGAAATACCCTTTTATAGAGAAGCCAACTAGTGAGTTGTATTATGAAGTACCTTAAAAGTAGAATACTATTAGATGTAGTACACAAGTTTGAAATAAATTTCTTGACTGATTGTGAAAAAAATAAACAACTACATGTAGAAACAAATGGAAACCGAACGGAGGTGATAAACAATAAAGGAAGATGTAGAAAGATACTAATAATAATAGATAAATCGCGAGACATGCGGCAAGACTAGTACGCGAAAAAGCCTCGGTCACCATCAAAGCATGTAGGTAACAGCCATTCAAGGCTATAAATGTTAACCTCAGGTGTTGACATGGTTGTTAAGCCTTATCCTGAAAATTTCTACAGAAGAGGCTGAAATTACATCGCTCAGAAGAGCGTTACTGATAGGGTTGACCAGTAACCTAGACTGTGTTCGCTCTTTGATGCCTGATTCACAAAAGGTTGCATCAAAAAGTGAATGGCGAAGACCAAGTAAAATGTCTTAATCAGGGTCACATGGAGTGCTCACTATAAACTGAATACTCATAATATATTGTTGTATACCATTTTTAATAGGCCTCAATTACACTGTTTCCCATTGCAGATAATAGTTAAAAATATATAAGATAAAAAACGACAGTTAAAATACATCTTTCGACTTTGCCTTAAGCACTCGAACTTAAAGGCAATCGAAAACTCCTACGCAGTCATGATTTTGTTTAGGCTCTTAACGACCTTGAAAAAGTATTTTACTCTGAGATCACTAAAACGCAGTAATTGAATTCTATCACCACCAGTTCAGTAACTTACTTTAAATAAGAGGCTTAAAGCTATCAAGACATGAAACCGTCCGGTGGTCTATAGAAACTTATCTCATACTTTCCTACCTGACTTAATCATTTTCTTTGTCAGCATCCTCTGGATGTTTTACGTTGCAGAAATTTATAATGTCAAATTCATCTTGTCGTATATAAAGCTGACTATGATAAGGAGGGTCGGAGTTGGCAGTCATCGCTACTAGTAACTAAGCAATCATTACGATAAGATTTGAAATTCTCATTTGACTTTTTGTGGAAAAATACTCCCTTGAACTGGTTACAGAGAAGCTTTTGTTATTCGGCAAACAAGTGACATTCACGTTTCTTAAAAGCGTTAAGAAGTCGGTATTTTGTGCACATCCCAGCATTTGTTGTGTTTTTATATATTTGCGATATCGCGATGAGAAGTTTAAATTTCTGACGTCTCGCGATTTATCATGAGCCTCTCTTTCAGAGGACAAGATTTCTTGTTTATTGTAACCTTTGAATACCGTTCGTTTACTTGTATGTCAGTAAATTCAGCATTATGAAATAACCTAAGACTCGTATTTACTTGTGGTCGAACTGATTCAATATGTTCCTGACAAACCAACTTTGGTAGGATTTGTAGTACTATGTAACTAAAACTAGTTAACTATTCAGTGAACATTCATGACTGATACTGACTTTGATGATTCTAACAGATGAAGAGACTCATTTAGATACCCTATTCGTCAGAAAGTTCATGTTTCCTGATTAGTGACTGTGTAAAATATTAACAGGTTATATCGAATTGTTCATCTCACGGTTCTGTTGCGTCGAATAGTCCAGAAGCCTATTCAGGGTTATTAAAATTTCGAGGTTACTGAAGTATAACTGAACATGAAGATGCCACAGGTATTCGGGGTTTTACAACGCTTTAACCAGTGACACCTAATATGAATCGAACCCATCAAGTGAAATCAAAATACAGAAGCGAGGAGGTTCGAAGATATATTTTATAGGCTACCAATATATCGAGGGTCGACTGATCTAGGCTGGCTAGCGATTGCAGGAGATGTTGAGCACGGCGTTTCCACTCGTGATCTGGTGCGGATGCATGGCCGAGCGCTTCCAGCTATGTGAACCCCTTAAACCTAATGTGGTGAGCATCCAGTGTCGAAGACTTACAGAGCTACTTATTTTGGGAATTTATTTACATCTACAGATCGCTCCTAGTGGTTGAGTGATGACCCTAAGACGTGACCAGCCAGAAGTCTAAACCCGACGAGTTTGTCGTTGATAAACACTCTTATGATAGTTTGCTGGGTTTAGCAGCGTCTGGTCGTCTTTCCTTACTATAAAGGACCATGAAGTGCAACATAGTATAAAAGAAAAAGTACGATGAAAATTTCTGATCCTCGTAAACTTCATCGTTCTTTTTATCGTCTTTTCCAGCCGTCCTGGAAGAGAAAAAAATAGGTTAGTGTATGTCGAAATACACTCGTGCGTGCATAAAACTACAAAGCGGACGAAAAAAGGAAAATAAACACATGCACACTTAATAGCGTAAAAAAAGATTTTTACAAAACGGTTTTTTGTTCTTTTTTGAAATAAAAATGTAAATATATAAGCATAATCAAATTGTTTTTTTTATATTACATATAATACAAAGAAAAATCGAGATGATATAAAATGTCAACTGGTATATTACGTGCAATAATCGTTCAAATGTTCTGGAAATCTTACTCTTCTTCCAGAACGCGTAGTTTTAAGTTTATTTCTTATACAGTCAAATCATTATCGTGCGTGTTGGCTGTCATATGAGGTATTATAAGTGTAAAAGCCGTATCGCTCAATAGTATTGAAGGGAAATCGACGTGGATAAGATTTCCTTCTAAATACGCTGCTTTGAGGCGATCGATGCTAATGCTATCGTTGGTTCCGTTCTTGTCGATTATATGATACTTGGGTTCGCGTTGAACAACTTTGAAGGGTCCTTCGTATGCTGATTCGAGAGGTCGTCGATGTGAGTCTCGACGAACGAAGACGTGTGCACTACGTCGTAAGTCAGGTTGAACGGAAACATCAGTTGATTGAGGTCGTGTGGAAACGGGTTTGACTGAACGCATTGCGTTTATAAGCCTGTTCGTGTAGGAGGTTAGATCCATGTTCATTGAAGTGGATGAAGGATCCACAAGTTCTACTGGAAGTCGAAGTGTCGTTCCATAAACGAGTTGAGCCGCAGAGTATCCAATGTCAGCTTTCACTGCATTGCGAATACCTAGTAAGACGAGTGGAAGAGCGTCAGTCCAATGTGAAACAATTGCAGCTGATAGTGAAGCTTTTAGTTGTCGATGAAAACGTTCTACCAACTCGTTTGCTTGTGGGTGGTAGGAAGTCGTTCGGAAAAGAGTGATTCCTAAAAGTGTGGTCACACAACGGAAAAGTTCAGATTCAAACTGACGTCCGCGGTCTGTAGTGATGGTTGAAGGGCAGCCGAAATTTGCTACCCATCGTTCGACGAAGGCGCGGGCCACTGTTTCAGCAGTGATGTCCTTGATAGATACTGCTTCTGGCCGTCGAGTGAAACGGTCAGCGCAGGTTAAGAGATAAGAGTATCCATTTTAATCTGGTAAAGGTCCTACCAAATCCAAATGAACATGGTCAAAACGAACATCGGGAGTTTTGAAAGAACCTAAGGAACATTTGTTATGTCTGATAACCTTAGATTTTTGGCAGCTTACACAGGAGCGTGCCCACTCCCTCACGTCTTTATTCATGCCAGGCCAGCAAAACCGTTCTGCTATAAGCTTGATGGTTGCATGAACACCTGGATGAGAAAGTGTGTGCAATGTATTGAAGACATTGCATCGATAATGTTTCGGCACGATTGGGCGATCCCTACCTCTAGATGTGTCACAAAGTAAGGTTTCCTTACTTGTTCCCATCTGTTTGATGTTCAGCTTAAAGGTTGTTGAGGATAACTCGTGCTGAAAATCAGTGTCCTCTTTTTGAAGCTCAGCGAGTTTCAGAAAGTCAATAACTTGGAGACTGTTCAAGGGAGTTATTCGAGACAAGGAGTCTGCGACCACATTGTTTGCTCCAGAAATGTGTTGAGTATCTGGAGTAAACTGCGAAATGTAGTCCAGTTGTCGAGACTCACGAGATGAGTACTTGTCTGAAGAGGAGCCTAACGAGAAAGTAAGAGGTTTGTGGTCAGTAAGAAGGGTGAATTCACGGCCTTCGATGTAGTGTTGAAAAATCCATACGGCACAATACATAGCTAGGAGTTCCCTACCGAATGTGCTGTACCTCGATTCGGTGTCCAGCAACCGTCTAGAGGAGAATGCCAAAGGTTGCCAGGAGTTGTTCAGCCATTGTTGAAGGACTGCTCCTACTGCTGAGTCTGATGCGTCTACTGCAATACTAATGGGTGCTTGAGTGTCCTGATGTGCAAGCATTGTTACTTTGGCGACAAGTTCCTTAATTGTGGAGAATGCTTTTCGTGCGGTGTCGTCCAGATTGATGGATTTCGCATTTCCACGAAGTTGGTCGGTTAGCGGTTTCATAAGAGACGCGCATTTCGGTATGAGCCGTCTATAGAAAATTACCAGGCCTTTAAACGTGTCAAATTGCTCGATGGTAGTCGGTTCTAGGTAATCCAGAATGGCCGTCACCTCGATTCTAAGGGGTCGGATGCTTTGCGCATCTATAGTGTGTCCTAGGAAGTCTAATGGATCAGTTAAGGTTTGGCATTTCTGAATGTTTATAGTGATGCCATGTTCTTGTAGTCGTTCGAAAACAAAATCCAGAAGCTGGAGATGCGGTTCTTTGTCTGGACTTGCAATTGGACAGTCATCAACATACGCATGTACGAAGTTGAGACTTCGAAAAACGTCATCTATGAACCTTTGGAAAGTTTGGGCAGCATTTCTTAGACCGAAAAGCATTCGCAAAAATTCATAGAGTCCGAAGGAAGTTATGATAGCGGTTTTCGGAATATCGTCAGTAGCCATAGGAGTCTGGTTATACGCTTTAACCAAATCGATTTCCGAAGACAGTTATACCTTTCAAGGCCGCTGTCAAGTTGTGAATGTGAGGTAACGGGTAACGATCGGGAATGGTTTTTGCATTCAATCGCCTATAGTCACCGGTTGGACGCCAATCGTTTCTGTCCTTTTTAGGGACCATGTGCAACGGAGATGACCATGAGCTGTTTGACGTTCTTATGATACCTAAGTCTATCATGTGGTCAAGTTCGTTTTTGGCCAACCCTAGCTTTTCGGGGGTCAGTCGACGTGTTTTAGAGAATACAGGTGGTTCCGTAGCCGTGATGCGATGTGTAACATTGCTGGTTACACACGACAATTTCAGTTGCCGTTGGTATATCCCAGAATATTTATCGAGTAGTGGTTGATAGAATGGGTTTATCGTGTGTTTAATTGTGACTGGAGATAATCTGCAACCGGAAAAATAAGTTACGCAAACAGACAAATTAGTTTTTCCGTCTACTAGCCTCTGTTTGCGCGTATCGATCAGTAGATTGCGGTGTTGTAGGAGGTCTGTACCAATGGTTGGCATAGAAACATCTGCAACAACAAAGATCCAGTGGATGGGTTTGCGTAAATCCACGTTGATGTAGACGTACCTTTTACCATATGTAGTGATAGGCTTTCTGTTTACCGCCTGTGGATTTAAAACCGGTTAGTAAAGCCGGTTGTGAGAACTCTCTGGAAGAACATCAACTGTGCCAGAGTCGACGAGGTAGCGAACTTGCGCTATCACATCTGTGACGTATAACAGACGGCTATGTCCGCCGGCTGCGGTTTCCGTTAACCCGTTCTGGCTTGGAAGTTTTCCGAATTGTTTTTCATGTCGGTTGATTTTGAGCTCGGAAAATTGCAGGGTTTTCTGCAATTTATGGAGGACTTTCCATACTGGTTGTGATACTAACACCATTCGGGGT